AGGGACTGATGATAACTTTCAGTCTGAGTCTGAAGGCCGGAGAACCAGGAGTGTTAATGACAGGAGAAGGCAACATGCTAGCTGAACGGATTCTCAGTTCCTATGCTTTTTGAGCCCTCAAGAGATTGGATGATATCCACCTGAATTGGGGAGGGCCATCTACCTTACTTGGTCCATGAATTCAAGTGTTAATCTCTCCTGGAAATGCCCTGACGTACCATAAATAATATTTCAGGAGATATTCAGGCATTCCATGGCCTAGTCAAGTTGATAAAATTAACTATTATAGTAAGATGTGGGTATGAACTTAAATATTAAATACATTATGCAAATTGACTGTATTTTCCAATAAAAAGACAGACTGTCTTGGTGAAGAGAATAGTTCTATGAACATTTTATTAAATGTAAATGGGATAAATTTTCAAACTGAAGGACAAAAACTATCTTTGTGAGGAGAATTATGTGAAGACATCTATATATCTATATGTCTCTCACTATATATGTTTGGAGGTGTTAAAGAGAACTTCTGTCCACCTCCAAACATATACCTATAGCTTTCTAAGATTTCAGAGGAGAAAAGGATACCTCAAACAAAAAAGGTTGGGAAAAAACAAGGGAAAGGAAAAAAAAACAGGAGACTACAGGCTATGATGACTTAAATACAATCTAGATATGAGACCTTTATTAGCTAAAAAGCATTACTGGTTTTCTGCTGCTAATGTAGATTTACCTTCTGTCATGGTTTGGATATGTGATGTCTCCCAAAAGTTCATGTCTGAGACAATGCAAGAATATTCAGAGGTAAAAATGATTGGGTTATGAGAGTTATGAATTGATGAGTGAATTAATTAATCCACTAATATTGACTAACTGGGCAGTATCTATAGGTAGGTAGGATGAAGCTGGAGAAAGTAGATCACTGGTGGTGTGCCTTTGGGATTTATATTTTGTCCCTGGTAAGTGGAACTCTCTTTGCTTCCTCATGGCCATGTTCTTAGCCACTTTCCTTCACCACATTCTTCCTCCATGATATTCTGCCTCATCTTGGGCCCAGAACTGTAGAGTTAACCATTTATGGACTGAGACTTAGACCTCTGAAACCATGAACCAAACAAACATCTCCTTCTTTAAAATTGTTCGTATCAGGTCTTTTGGTCATAGCAGTGACCAAAAAGCTGATTACAAGACCTCCTTCAACTACCATTCCCTGACCATTGCCCTCCCATATTCCAAATCTCCATTCCCCTCCTAATAGTATCTGTTCATGTGCACTCATTTGGATAGGAGCTTCCTTCCATTTTCTAACAAATGAAAAATAAGGAAGTTTACGCTAATAACTAATACTATGGGGTAATAGTTAAGTAGAGATTCTGGAGCCAAACTACCTGGATTTGAATTCTGTCTCTGATATCTCCCTTCCATATGACCTTTGGCAAATCATTTAAGCCCTTAGTTTGTTTATCTGTAAAAAGAGAATAATAATATGGGATGTTGTGATGATAAATATGTAAAGTATTTAGAAAAGTGACTGACAAATACGTGCTATGTAAGCACTATTAGGATTGTTACTTTTATTATCAATATGGAGGTTATGATATAACATTTATTCTTTGTTTGATCTTGTGAACCTAGTTACAGTCCCTGCACCTGGACAGTTTAGGGTCCAAAACTGATGGAACCATTCAAGGAAGACTCTTTGGGACAGGATTGGAGAGTTGTCCCTTTTCATCACTTCTGTGTTGTTTTGGCATCCCCAGCACTGGAATGTTTGGGGACTCTCTGAGGCAACACTTTATCATGCACTCTTTGTTATTGTGATAGGTGATGGCAGCAATGAGGAAGTGAGGAGAGTGGAAATATCTGTGACTCTCACTAACCAATTTTTGTAGGTACTTAGGAAAAACTATTAGAAATTTGTAATGTACTACTTTGAGGACTATCAGAAATAAATGGGGGAAATTTTGAAGGGAGAATAAAGTTCTATATTATGATGATGAAGTTATCATGCTGGCAGTTGATTTTAATTCCTCACCTTTAAGATTGATTTTAGGGAGAACAATTTTACCTTTTGACCCACATCCCTTTGGACCAACACTGACAAATGGTCTAGAACCTAGACTTACAATTGCAATACTGCATTCTTTTATGCTTCTATGATTAGAAATAAATGATTAGTAATAAAATGAATTACATATATAACTATAGATTCAATTGTGATTTTTAAAAAAAGAAGAATTTGAGAGTGTTTAAGCACAGCCAGGCATAGTGGCACATGCCTGTAATCCCTGTGGCTTGGAAAGCTGAGGCAGGAAAATTGCTAGTTCAAAGCCAGCCTCAGCAAAACTTAGAAAGGCCCTAAAGCAACTTAGTGAGACCCTATCTCTAAACAAAATTTAAAAAATACAAAAAAGGTTTAGGGATGTGGTTAAGTGTTTAAGAACCCCTGGGTTCAAAACCTGATACCAAAACAAAACAACAACAACAACAACAAACAAACCCCCCAAATAAAATAAAAACTACTGCAAGCTTATCATCAATATTGTTAAAACAAATCAAGGTTGAAGACTATATAAATATTGGGCCAATATGATGTTTTAGCATGGAAAATGTACTTTCTCCCCCTTTTAGAAATAAATTATTAGAAAAAAGAAAGTCATAAAATAGATTATTGAACCATTTATTTCAATTTATTTTTTTTATCATTTTACCAGGTAAATCTTATGTAATTTATTGCACTAACCCTATAAGAATCATGTGGAAATGGGAAAGAATGTTAATGGAAACATTGCCAAAAGGAAAGGGGAAAAAAAGAATTTCCCAAAAGGATGCAAATGCTCTTACCAGAAGACAGGGTAACATGCCAGGTAGCCAAAAATATAGTTAAAGCCTACATAATTAGATAAAGAAAGGCAAAATATAAGTTATATAAAATATTGCATTCCAGTAAAATCTATGTGGACCACATAGTAACATGAGTAGTGGTCATGAAACATTGTTAAATAAAAAGGAATTCAGAAGAGAAAATATACTTAAAACTTTGGAATATGAGAAAACAACTTTTTACTTTGTGGTAATGAAATAATGGATATTAAAATTTTAAATTAATTAATGTATTTATGAAAAATACATTAAAAACCAAAAATTTCAAAGAAAAGATTCTTCCTTCTGCTTTTAAGTAGGGAGTTGTTTTTTTTTTTTTTTTTCACATGAGAATTTGCTCTCCAAGTAATTGTTTGGTTAACTGGAAACTGTTGATGAGATCTCTGAATCTTTTCTTGGACTATTTACTGCTCCTGTTCCAGATTGAAGAGCTTGGTGACCATTTGCAATGCTGCGGCTGTTGCTGCACAAACACTAACAGTGTGACATGACTGCTATCACATACTACCACTCAATACTGCTCTCAAAATTGAAGTAGCTAAGGTGGTGTAAAGGGAGGTCTCACCTTTGCCAGAAGCCACTCATCTTTTCAAGACATTGTTTGCCACAGTCTTGAACCTGGATGGATCCTCAGAGTGAAGGGAAGACCACTCCTCTCCCCAGTATTATCCTCAGTCCAGTGCAGACTAATATACAAACATGTGATGACCACAACAAAAATACTTCTGCATGGATCCCAGAATTTTAGTTCCAGTTAATCCACTGTGTTTCTGCTTTCCCTCCCCACCCCTCTCTTTCACACACACACACACACACACACACACACACACACACACACTATTCCATGTGACACAAGGAAATAATTAAATATTGAAACAGTTGTGAACATAAGGCAGACCAGAAGAAGTAGTTGTGATTATAATAATCTTTGTGGATATGAAAGATTTGGAAAAGGGGCTGTCCTTTCTGAGTTTTTGACACTAAGCATGTTAATTTATAATAGTATGTGTGTATGCTTGTATGTTTGTATTTGTGAGGGATGGTTTTATTATGTTTTGAATTATGGAGGACCTAACAAATAGGAAAGAGGCAGATTTGCTTTGTGTAAACATAGCCCTAATTATAGTAGTACATGGAAGCTGACCATCCTTATGCTCAATAATTTCACAGCTTAATATTCTCAAGTATTTTGAAGTTTGTTTCATTTTATTATACCAGTAAACTGCATACACATTCCATCTGCCTAACTTTGCTATGTACATTTCATCCCAGGTCATACGGCCCTCTGTTCACATATTGTAGTTCACCTAAATGCCCTGTTTCTGTTTAAATACCAGGTGGTATGACCAGCTATCCCAGTCTGTCTGAGACTGAGGGAGTTCTCAGGATTTTCAATGCCAGGACAGTCCTGAACAAACTGGGAAGAGTCAGTCACTCTAATCTCAGGTCTGCATGAAGCCTTTGTCAATTTATTCCCAGTCATGCTAAACTGACCTTCAGAAATTTGTTTTTGCATTTAAATACTGATAGTTTTATGAGCTTAATAATTATATATATAAATATATAAGATATATATATATAAATATATCTTTCCATAAATATATAATATATAATATATATATATAATAAATTATATATATATATATAATTATTTTTAGATAGATAGGTAGTAGTTTGCAAGTTTCTTGAGGTTAGGGCCCATATCACTTTAAGTTTTTTCTTTTCGAATACATAGAGTACTAGTACTTAATAAAGTGAATCTAAGAATTTAAAATTTTTACTTAGGTGTTTCAAGCATTATACAATCTTTCTTCTTTAATTTAATTAAGTAAAGCAATGAAGCTTAGTGGTTATAAATGTGAATTTAAATTCCCAACTTGTTGATTATTTGACTTTGGGCAAGTTCATTAACCTTTCTTAACCTCAATTTCTTAAGAGTGTAAAATGAAGATAAAAATACTACCTACTTTCCCATGATATTGTAAGCCTTAAACAAAATGTTAATTAAGACTATAGTATTTTGTTTAGTACATAGCCCACAATTAGTTATTATGTGGTAGTTGTTAATAAGTGATTGTAAATCAACTCATAGGTATTTTTCCATGGTTTGTTTCTTTCAGGGAGTTTATGTTATCCCAGGCAAAAGCAGTTATTAAAACTACTGATGATTATTTGCAGCCTCAGTTTGGCCCCGACAGACTTTTGCATTCAGCGGCAGTATCAGAAGGGTCAGGATTTCAAGATTGCTGTACACATCAAACAGCATCAGATCACAGCCATGAGGAAATATCAAACCCAGATAGCTACAAATCAAACAGTAAAAACAATTCTTGTTTTATATCAGCATCCAAGAGAAACAGACCTGTCAGTGCTCCGATGGGTCAACTGAGGTAATCAAAGCTGTTCTCTGTTCTTTTTAACCAACTGTTGAAGCTTTTTCTTTTGAGCAGAATTTATAGTTATTCAGCTAACTATTTCAGACATTAAAAGATATCATATCTCTTGGGGCTTGTTTCTGGTTTTGTTTGTTTTTTTCCTTTGAAAGCACCAGAGTAGAATGTTGCTAATTACATTGTGGAAAACACGAGGTACACTTCAACCTGGGTTATCTGAAACTGAAAAGATTATTTGAAGCAAAATCAGAATAGGACCAGGAAATATCTTTGCTTTCAGGATATTTATTTTAAAGTAGAAATGCCTATTTTAGATATTTAACCAATATTTTGACAACAGAATGGAACTGATATGAACTTATTATAAAACCATTTCGTATATATGTTTTCACATCAAGATCGTTCTCCTAAACCATTAACCTCAGAGTAAAGAGACAGAATATATTGGTTAAAAACTAAAGAAACAGATACTCCCATTACTTTTAGGTGTTTGAATATTTGGGTATGTTGTGATTTTAGCTTACCCAAAGTTTTTAAGATGTGGACTTGCTTCTGTGGCATTGCAAATTAACATGATGGGAAAATTCTGGAGTTGAAAATTTGTTTGCCACTTCACCATATACTTTTGACAAGAAAATAATAAAGATAAAACTGGTTTTAACTGAAGACAAAACTTGGAATATCAATTTTTACTGCTCCCAAACAGTTTGAAATGCAGGCAGTTCAAATAATATAGCATTAAAGTTTTAGTTATAAAAATCTATCTGAATTTAATAAAAAAGTCAAAGAACTGTCATACACACAAAAACTTGTGGAAAATTTTAGCCATTTACTATTTTAAGACATTAAGACTACATTACTATTTTTTGCTCTTAGAACATGGCAGATCTAGCTATCTAATTTTTCAGATATACAATGTTAAAATGAATATTATAGTGTTTTATAAGTAAAATGATAAAAAATCATTAATTCTAAGATAACTGTTTTGTATAAGCCAGTTTGGCACACTATCCTATTTTAAATGTTTTTGGATATTTAATAGTGACAGTCTCTTTCCATAAAAAGCTTTGTTGGGGAACACTTACATACAAGGAACAATCTTTAGGGCTTATATTTTTTTTAAAAGTTTATGGTAAGTTTTATTTAAAAGATTTTAGTAATTAACATGCACCATTTTTTTGTGTTCTTTTGTTGTTTTCTTTTAGAGTTTTAAAGTTCTCCTCTCTAAAATTTCAGTCCACTCAGAATTGGCAAAGATTGTCTCAAAGGTACAAACTTCAACCAAGAGTGATTAAAGTAACAGCTTACAAAAATGGATCTAGAACAGTCTTTGCCAAAGTTACTGCTCCAACGGTCACCTTGGTAACTAATGTTCCAAACTTTTCAGCACTTTATTTTCTCCCTTGCTCTTTTTATGGTATTAAAAAATGAAAGATGACACTTAATTGTATTACGATTTTGTTTTTATCAATCCGAACCTGTAAATTGCTTACATGTGTGGGTCTCACAGTCATTTCAGTCCTTTACTTTTTAAAAAATCAATATAAATAGTAATTAATTAAACAGATTAATTATTAAACAAATCCAATGACATTATATTTTGTAGAGTTATTAAAATGACAGATCTTAAGTTGAAGGATTAAAATTAGATCATAATTAGATATTCTTGGTGCTTTAATTTACCTTTTATTTCCATATATTTAACTGCTACTACAGTATATGGGTTGAGTTACTAAACTTGGCAAGTGACTCACTTGGGCTTCTGTTTTGATTGTTAGAACCTTTTGTTTTATGGAAATGTGTTACTTTCTTTCTCATAAATCACTTTGTCTTACCTCTTGTTTTCTTCTAGTTGCTGGAGGAGTGCACAGACAAGCTGAATCTGAACATGGCCGCACGACGAGTGTTCTTGGCAGACGGCAAGGAAGTCCTCGAATCTGAAGATATACCCCATGAAGCTGATGTTTATGTTTCAACGGGAGAGCCCTTTTTAGATCCATTCAAAAAAATTGAAGGTAAAAAAGGGGGAAAAAACCCTATCCCCCATACGTAGTAAATTGCTTAAGGGGTGCAATTAAAAAATGATTTTCATCCCATCTTTTTTGCATGGTTTAACAAAACTAATGTTTACGCATTTACAGCTCAGTAAGAGGATAATGTGCTTAATGAAAGAAAAATCCACTGACAGCCACGTTTATTGCCCTTCATTAGCATTGGTGCTTAATTTAATATAGATCTGAATAGACATTAGGGAGCCTGCAGGAGGTTAAATGGTGAAAATATAATAAATTAAATCAGAGATTATTGAATTTACTGTTTAGTTTCTGTGACACTCAACAGACATAATTCATTAGACTTATCTTCTCAGAAATTAGTTCAAAGTTTCAAGTATCATTTATTCACTTATACTCTTGGTTCTTTTTCAGATGGCAATCCATAACTATGAAAATATGGCCAGTAATGAAAATATAATTCTTATATACATGTGATTCTCCTAATAATTTTTTTTCCAAGGTACATGCAGCAGCTTGATTTAAAAAAAAAAAAATCTTGAAATACATTTGCATGTGCCTGTGCACACACAGAGACACACACACCTATATGTATAATCTCAGAACAGATTTTCTGGTCAGGTTTTTTTTTAAAGTGCATTGTTTTTAATTATTCAGAAATGTGAGGATTTTCTAAAATTAAAACTTTTTTTTAAATGTATCCTTTGTGATTGAAATGTATCCAGTATCCAGTATCTAAGAATATCCTTCAAAGCATTTTGTACCCAGAGTTTGTTATCAAGTGCTATATATGATAATCAGATTTAAATAACATAAAGAATAAGAAATTTGCCATAAAAATTCAGTGTTTCTAACTGCTATACTCCCTTATGCTTTTTATACTGTATTAGATGTAATTTTTTCTGCAGATCTATGAAGCTGGTGAAGCAAAGGCAAGTCTAGGCAGTAATTGCATAAGTAGGAGAAAAGTAATTTTGGAGTTTATTACAGATGAGGTGATGAGAATCCCTCTTGTATTAATGTTATTATATAAAATAATGTTAAGATTTCTATCTTTTTGATAATACTTGATCATAAGAAAATAAGTAATTTCTTGAATTCGATAGAAAGTTCAAGATAATTTGGTCTTTGTAAAGAAACTTGTTGCTGTAATATTCATTAAAAATTCACCCATGTGATCATGTAGACCTACATTTTTGCTTTAACTTTAAAAAATAGCTGATTTTATTTTGTATTCATTGAATAATTTGCTTATGAATGATGAATATTAGTGAATAAATGCATTTCTATGATTTTTTTAAAGTCAGAAGTTTATGTAATGGTTACTTCAGTAAGAACCTTGATCATTTTATTATTTGTCTTTCATATGAATAATGGTATTATAGAAGAGAGATGCATAAAAATATTTATAGCTAAGCTAAAACGAAAATTTCCTGGACATGTATGCCCAAAATAATAATGTCACATACATGACTAAACTTTTTCAATGATTTTTAAATGTATGAACTAATTTTCTCCTACTTTTTGTTTCTCTTTTATCCTTTGAAAAGCCAAGTCCAGGACAAAAACTTCTCTGCTTTGTCTGCATATCTTTGGCTGTGTTTCACTGTGACATGCACTGCTGTTCTTTTAGCACCAAAATGTTGGCACACACTCCTGAAAATTTCACACCATCTCTTGCTGGATCAGCAAGCTTAACCCACCAAAATCTGGTGTTGTGCAATGGTTTTTGACTGATAATCAATCTTTATGCTGCTCGACAGTTGTTGCTGGGACACGGAGTAGAGCAGGTGGCAGATGTGTCTTGTCTTTTGAGAAAAGAAATTGTAGGTGAGCTTGGACACAGACTAGCATATCACATGTCCATTAAAAGGACTTAGGATAAGTATAATGGGGAAAAGTCCCTCATTTAAGTTAAGCTCATAGATAATAAGCCTAAACACTGATATTTGATTTCATTCAAAACATTAAACATATAAATAAATGTAAATATATAGCTAAATATTACCTTTCACATATATGTATGTATGTAGGTGAATATTTAACTTGATGTGGGTGATGTCCACATATTCACATATGCTTTTTTATATCATCTAAATCAGATTTAAGATAACCTTTTGAACATGTATTATAGATTTTTCAGCAGTTTGTGAACTTGTTGTCAAAAATATACCATAAAAATAAAGCATGTTTGAATAACTTTGAAGATAGTATATACATTTAAAAGAAGAGGAGGAATTATCAGAAGTTGGAAATTTTAATATGCTAAAGGTAAATCATGGAAAAATAAGAGTTGATGTTGCTGCTATAACTTTCTAAATGAGCATGAATATTTTGTATAAAATCAGCCAAAAAGCATTAGAGTAGGTAACTGGCCAATATTTCAAGTTACTGATATTTGTTCATGCAGCAATTTATTAGAACCTACTATGTGCCAGGTAATAGGCCAGATCAGAAACAAAGTGGGGACTTATGATGCTGATTTCTTTTTTTTAAATTATTCTTCTTTTACCTCTGATTTCAATTCAATTTGTTAAAAAAATTTAAATCAGTAAAATTTTTTGTTGAATACTTACTGTATATCTGTGAGGAACCTAAACTGTGGGGTAAATAAGTTATAAATCCTTAAAACTGAGAACACTATTCAACAATGTAAATCAAAGGGGTCCTTTACAGAAAAAATTACCTTATTACTGCCACAAGAAGGCCAAATAAGACAATATATATTTTGGCAACTGTATTTCAATATCTCATTGGTTTCCCTGTGATTTAGAAAATCAGTGTAAATATTGAAAATTTCCTGCTATTAGAAAATAATTACAGATTTACTAAGATAGGGGAAAAAAAGCCAAACATCTCTGATTTTTTAAAAAACTATTTTACTGTCCCTTTTGGACATCACTGTAGACAACTAAAGGCACTGCATTTAATAGAAAGCCAGAGAGCTATTCATCATATTACTTTGAAATACAAAGCTTTCATTTAGAGGTCAGGATAAGGTCAAGATTGACATGAAGCATTCCATGTTGCAATGCAATATTAGAGTAATTCTTAGATTTTGAAGTTGAATACCTGATCATGAACATGAATTGTATATGGAAAAAATCAGAAAATAGGAAATTTTATATAGAAAATTATAGATGAAAATGTTTTGTGGTTTTATAATTCTGGAATTTAAAGATTCTGATATTTATTAGTCATTCTGGAATTGGGAAGGTGTAGTTAATGAATTGTTATAAAAGACATTTCAAAAATTTTCATTTTCAAAAAAGAGTCTTCAGTTTCATGGTTTGGGATTTATTCACAATTTCCTGAAGCTTCTGCTTAATGGTAGTACAATGAAAGTTCTTGGATGAGATCCATACATTTTATAAAAGTTCAGCCCCTTTATAACTGCTAGGAGATATTGGCAATGCAAATATAGCATAAGGAATGGTTTGTGCCCAGTGATTAATTAAATATCTTAAATAAAATAGGGGGGAGGATTTGTTTAGACCCAATTCATTACCTAATGAATTTTACTGCATGGATTTCTTATTGTCTTTAAATTTTTTTAGTTTTATATTTCCACTATTTCCTGTATATCCTACTCCACTATTTGGCTTTCAGAATTATCATTTACAGTGATACATTTCAGTCCTGAGGTTTTTTAACCAGAAGTGAAACTGAGTATTATAAATAAGATTCTACATCTTTTAAATACTGTATTGTGAAGATGTAGTAACAGGAAAAAAAAATCCATGAAAGGAGTTCTTGATAGTACACCTAAGATCTAAATTTAAACCTTAAGATTTTCTGCTAGCTGCCATGTGATCTACAAAATGAAATAATTTGCTGTGACAGCTTGTGATTGACAAGAATATGTGTGAGCATATTTAAAATAGGCCATCTTTTCATGTAGAAGTAAATGTCAGTGAAATGATGGATTCTCATCATTTTAATTATTGATGATTTGGAAATATTTCAATTCCATGACACACAGGACACATTCTAAATAGCAGCATAACACTTTTTCTCATATCTGCTTCAATAATGAAATGTTCTGTCATATTTTGTTTTTCAAAAAATGCATTAGTTTAATGAACCTGGATTCATGTGTTATATTCTGGTTCGTTATATGTTTACTAAGGTTGTTGTTTTTAATAGTTGTGTTAAAAGCACAAGTGTCAAGAAGCGACCCACTACTCATATCACACCACATCTTGCTATTTCTCCTTCTGGATCTAACACAGAATGCAGTAGTGTTGCCTACACCAATGGCTGCTTCATCCTGCTAAAGCTAATACTTAACTTCATGATGCCTATCTATAGGGCAAACACTAATTTATTTAAGCAGCTAAAGGAGTTAGGGTTAGTTTTCCCAAATTTATTTTTATAATTTGGTTTCAATAGAACATATGCTAGGTGATTTTGTTGTTCATTTTATCTCCCACTTGGCTGTGTATACTCAAAAGTAGGAAACTTGTAACACAGAGAAGGAAAAGATTCTTCTGTCTATTAATATAGATGAAGATAAAGTCATAAGCATGTATTTCATGTGTTTCCCTCTTCCAAAGGCTTTAAATCTGTAGTAAGGGTACTATATAAATAGAAGTGGATTTGAAGACAATTGCGGGAGACCAAAGGGGGAGAAAAGGGACGTTAACCAGTAGGAAAACCTAGAGCATTTGCATGTGGTTTACAGCTTCCCCTCATACTGTCAAACATGAAATCACTGAGAAACACCTAAATTCTTAAGATAATCATGAAATATTGAATTAATTATACATATACACAAAGGATATACTTATTTAATGCAGATGCCTACAAACATACTATATTCCTGATAATTTGAATGGTTGGGTTTCTGTATATCATGTACCCAGTTATGGCTTTAAGTTTGTTAGGTGTACTCCTTATAACCCCTGAGTTAGTGTTACAAATCCATAGTCCCTTATCTGTAATTCCCAAACTCAAGATTGTAGAAATCCAAACAGCTTTACCTTATTTACTATAACTAATCA